AGGGCCCAAACATACCTTCCAGGTGAAGCAACACTTCACGTGCACTTCCCAGAATCTAATCTACTGCTCACAATGTGGTCTCTTCTACATCAGGGAAACGAAGCGTAGACTGGGTGACCGCTTCGCAGAACATGTACGTTCTGCTCGCAAAAAAACCCCTGAGCTACCTGTTGCCTGCCACTTTTACACACCGCCCTGTTCCCTGGCCAATATCTCTGTCACAGACTTGCTACAGTGTTCCAGTGAAGTTCAGTGCTAGCTGAAAGAACAACACCTCATTTTCCGTTCGGGGACCCTGCAACCCCCCAGACTCAATATCGAGTTCACTAATTTTAGGGCTAAACTCTCCTATGTCCTCATCCTCTACCCCACACACCAGGCCTTGTTATCACATAGCCTGCCATTACACACTACCTAGTGTTAGTCATTAACAGTTCCCTTTAACATCTATTCACCGTCCCAGCCAGATAGCTATCAACTCCTTTGTCTATCTAACTGCTCTTCTCTCTCTTTGGGCTCTATGCCCACTTATCACTTACTCCCTACCCCATCCTCCTCCCTATCTTCTGCATATAAACCAATGATTTCCTAGCTACCTATCAGTTCTGAAGAAGGGTCACTGGATCCGAAACATTAACTCTGATTTTTTCTTCACAGACGTTGCCAGACCTGTTGAGCTTTTCCAGCAACTTCTGTTTTTGTTCCTGATTTACAGCACCCCTGCAGTTCTTTCAGTTTTTATTTTGCAAGATGACACATTTTGGAAGAACATGGGAAGATAACATAAAATAGTGGGCACCATTCTTAAGGTGATGCGGGAGCAGAGTGACCTGAGTGTATATGTTTATAGATCACAGGACACGTTGAGAGTATAGTTAATACAGCTTATAGTCTCCTGGGCTTTACTAATAGGGAAATAGAATACATGAGTAAGGAGATGATACAGAACTTATGCAAGCCACTCATTAGATCTCAGTTGGTGCATTGTGCACAATTCTGGGCACCAAATTATAGGAAATATTATAACACATTGCAGAGAGTATAGAAGAGATTTACAAAAGGTTCCAAGCATGAGAAATTTTAATAATGAGAATAGATTGGAGAGGTTGAGACTGTTTTCCTTGAAGGGAACCAGGCTAAGAGGAAATCTGATAATTGCATATGAAATGAAGAGAGTTCTGGATAAGACAGCGAGAACACTGCTTGTAAAAAGATAGAGACAAGAGGCCACAGATTTAAAGTGACTTGCAAACATTGCAAATGTGTTGCGAGGAATACATTTTATCATTAATTGAATTGTTCAGGTTTGGAATGCACTGCCAAGAAGTGTGGGGGAGGAAGAGTTAATTGAGACATTCAAGATGGCATTGGATGATTATTTAAATAGAAATATTATGAAAGGGTATGGGTAAAAGGCAGGAAAATAGCAATAAATCACAGTGCTCAGAAAGCCAATGCAGACATGACGAGCTGAATGCATTGCAACAATTGTTGTGGTTCTGTGATGTTAGCAGTCATAGACTCAATCTGCCACAGTGGCTTTCTTCAGACACTGGAGTGAGGGACCTTTGGGATATACTTGTAATCAGATAAAAAATTATGTATTCTCAAAAGGCTGTATTGAAATACCACCAATGTTGAACATGTGTCACATTACTCCACTCATGAGCACGATATTAAGGAAACCACTGCATTGTAATTCACAGCCCCACCCAGCTGCAACTGAATGTGTCTCTGTCTAAGAGGGACTGATCATACAACATAAAGCCTCGTTATTCCTCAGCAGGAGTGGAGCCCTGTGTGATATGCTTAGTTTCAGGTTCCACAAGAAGATGCAGTGTTCTGACACATTGAACTGTGAGAACTGTGAAAATACAGGCTTCATAAAGTGACAATCCCCATTATAGAAATCAACTTATCTTAGACAGGAACTATTTTAATTTCCTTTCATAGTGTTAAAAAAATTACCAAAGGGTGTGAAAAATGACGTTGAGATTATTCTTGACATGAGGAACAGCTGTTGTGTACTTCCTATTAAAATTCACTGGGATTAAACCCTTCATTTAAACAGCGATGTCGCTTCAGACTTTTTGTTATTATTAGCTAAATAATTCAATTGGTTTGCAAAGCATTTTTTCTATTTATGGACATTGGGAGATTTTCTTTTATTGTGAAATATAGTTGTAAATGTTTATAGTTTACTCAAGTAAAAGAGGTGAAATACATTGATATGTATTGGTTTTAAACATCTGCAGGAGGAAGAGAAAAGTGAGAGGTAAACAACACACTTCCTCATGGTACTGAAATCATTACAATGTATGTTATTAATATCCTGTTGTACAGGATCTCAGAGCACAGGGCTGGAAATTTACTCTGTGCAGACTGGCTGCAGGGCATGTTAAGTGATGGATCAAGACAATGGGAGGGAAGCTCGATGCCTCCATCACTGCCACAGAATAGTCTCAGAGGTTCGATTTTAATTGTGCTGGTAAAATGCCAACTTGCTTCTTTAATGAGAAACAATGGCATGTTCTCTCACTGTCATGTTCACAGGTGGAGATAGCCTGTAAAATTCCTCAGATGGTCTTCCCACCTCCCTTGCCTTAAGCTGTCCAAAATCTGACCTGCCCAGTCACGCCCCAACTGAGGCCCTTAAGTGGCCAATTAATGAATACTGAAGAGGTTGTTTCCAATTTGGTGCCAATTTTCAGGCTGGCAGGAGTACAAGAGTAGGGGGAAACGCTGGAAAGTGAGCCTACTCAGGCCTTGGTCAGGAATGGGAAAGGAGTTTTCACAGCACCTCTTTCAACAAATGTCCCACCACCCCACCACAGCGACTAAACCAAACGTCCCTAGCAACTTCAATCTGACCCCCTCCTCCATGCTTTCCCATGCCTCCCCGCCTCTGAGATTCCTACTTTTGCTTGGTGCTGGATTTAGATTCTGTGGATGGCTTGCAGTCCCAGTCCTATCCACTGCAGACTCTGTTACAATTTTAGGACAAGAGGGCTATAATCTCATTGGCTCTAAGCTCTCTGAGGTGGGTCTTCCTCTTGCATGAGAGGCAGAA